CTCCTACCCTAGGGTCATGGGTCATATGAAATCCCACCAAGTCATTACTAGCTTGAGTTGACTTTGCCACATGCAACCAAATGATCCCAATGACATTTATCCAGTTGAATCATAAACTCCTGGCATGAGGAACTTTTATATATTGTCAAGTCACCTCAGGACCAAATACAACTCAGAAATCACATGACAAATACTTGTTTAAAAAATTATATCATTCATTTTAATGAGCATGAAAGCAACAGTCCTCACAAACTACTTACAAGACTGGTTTGTTTTCATCGTACTGAGCTTCTGCTTCTCAGAAAAACTTGTTCCTCGAAACCTTTTGTAATTCCTCAAAACCAATTGTAATTCAATCTGACATCGGGCCCTAGCACCAAATTGTTCTATAACTTGAACAAGTCACTTGATCAATCTGGTCTCAATTTCTTCATTAGCTACAAGAGATTATGTAACTAGATGAGACTTCTTAACTTTGGCACTGTAACATTTGGGACCAAATAATTACTTGTTTTCAAGGGCTGTCTAATGCACTGTAGGATGTTTAGAGGCATTCTCTGCTTCTGCCCACTCGATGGGAACAGCACAACCCTAGTGGTGACAATCAAGTGTCCCCAGACATTGCCAACTGTCTCCTGGCAGACGGAATCACTCCCAGGTGAAAAATCACTGAACAAGGTTAACAAATCTTTTCATATATTCATAGCACTATACAGTTATGAAAACACTTTAATGAACATTAACTTATTTGGTCTTAACAACAATCCCAAGAAGTGGGCAGGGAAGTGACTAGTATTTCAAAGGTAATTAATCTCAAATTCAGAGATCAAGCCAACAAATGGTAGCGGTGGATAAAAACCCTCATCTGCTGACTCCTATTTCTGCCTCCTCTTGGTATTCTTCCATATCCTGGCTCTGTAACTTACTAGCTGTAGAATTCTAGACAAGTTTTACCTGGGTTTTCTAATAGTTCAGCGCTATCTGAACTGCCCCAGTCTATTTTCTGCATACCAAAGAGTCTTTCTGAAAACTACAAGATGCCATATGAATATAAATTAAACTGCTTTTGGGGCCGGCGCTGTGGTGTAGCAGATAAAGCTGCCGCCTGCAGTGCCGGCATCCCATATAGGCACTGGTTCAAGTCCTGCCTGCTCCACTTCCAATCCAGCTCTCTGCTATGGCCTGAGAAAGCAGAAGATGGCCCAAGTCCCTGGGCCCCTGTACCCCCGTGCAAGACCCATAGGTACCTCCTGGCTTCATACTGGCACAGCTCTGGCCGTTGCGGCCAACTGGGGAGTAAACCAGCGGACAGACTACCTCTCTCTCTCTCTCTCTCTCTCTGCCTCTCCTCCTCTCTCCGTTTAACTTTGACTTTCAAATAAATAAATAAACCTTAAAAAAATTAAAAACAAATTGTACTGCTTTTATACTTTGCTGCAGTGCATCCCAAATCAGAGCACCAGCTCACTGCCAGCTACCGCGCTTCAGTCAGCTCTCTGCTAACTGCCCAGGGAAGGCAGCCGAAGACGGCTCACGTACCTGAGGCCTGCCACCCATGTGGGAGACCCAGATGGAGCTGAGCTCTTGGCTTTCACCTGGACCAGCCCTGGCCATTGTGGCCATTTTGGGGAGTGACCAGTGATGGAAGATATCTGTCTCTCTCTCTAACTCTGCCTTTCAATAAATATATATATATATATTTTTTAACCCAGAAACCTTTCAATTTAAGGTATATAAACTTCAAGCATTTCATAAATACAACAAATAAATCTTAAAAAAAAAAAGTATCCTTGTGGCCAGCGCTGTGGCACAGGTTAATCCTCCACCTGCAGCGCCAGCATCCTATATGGGCACTGGTTCTAATCCTAGCTGTTCCACTTCTGATGCAGCTCTCTGCTATGCCTGGGAAAGCAGTAGAAGGTGGCCAAACGCATGGGAGACTCGGAAGAAGCTCTTGGCTTCAAATCAGCCCAGTTACAGCCACTGTAGCCATTTTGGGAGTGAACCAGCAGATGGAAGACCTTTCTCTGTCTCTTCCTCTCACTATCTGTAACTGTACCTGTCAAATAAATAAATATTTTTTTAAAAAAAGTATCCTTTAGCCAGCGCCGCGGCTCACTAGGCTAATCCTCCGCCTTGCTGCGCCGGCACACCGGGTTCTAATCTCGGTAGGGGCACCGGATTCTGTCCCGGTTGACCCTCTTTCAGGCCAGCTCTCTGCTGTAGCCCGGGAGTGCAGCGGAGGATGGCCCAAGTGCTTGGGCCCTGCACCCCATGGGAGACCAGGATAAGTACCTGGCTCCTGCCATTGGATCAGCGCGGTGCGCCGGCCGCAGCACGCCAGCCGCGGCGGCCACTGGAGGGTGAACCAACGGCAAAGGAAGACCTTTGTCTCTCTCTCTCTCACTGTCCACTCTGCCTGTCAAAAAAAAAAAAAAGTATCCTTAACCTTGTATTGTCAGATTCCCCTAGTGTAAAAGAGATAATAATATCTGACTTCCACACATTCCCATAATTTTGGTGATTCTCAATAGTCAAATAATAATCATTTCAAAAGGCTTCAACACATAGCTTCTCCAGGAATTCCAACTCCCAGGGCCAGCATTGTGATGCAGTGAGCTAAGCCACCACCTGCAATGCCCAGCATCTCTTAGGAGCAATGGCTTAAGTCCTGGCTGCCCAACTTGATCCAGCTCCCTGTTAACGTGCCCGGGACAGCAGCAACAGATGGCCCAAGTCCATGGGACCCTGACACCACAGTGGGAGGCCCGAATGAAGCTCTTGGCTTTGGCCCGCCCAGGCTTGGCCATTTCAGGAGTGAACCAGTGTATGGAAGATCTCTGTCTCTCCCTCTCTCTGTAACTCTGCCATTCAAATAATTAAATAAATCCTTAAAAAAAATTCCAACTCCAATATTATTACATATTGATCTTCATCCCTTTTTCACTAAATCTGTAGTCTCCAACCTATCTTGCCCTGTGTCTTCACATCTCCCTTTTATCATCTATATAAGCACTCCTGGCTTCCAACCACTGTTACTTCATCATCCTAACCTAGCCTAACTCCAACCCTCCTACCCACCTTCTCTGCTCCTTCACCCAGGCAGCTCAAAGTGACATGAGAAAAACACTACACCTTGCTGAAGGCAATCAACTTACATTCATGACCACTAAGCTCAATGACAACAATTACTTCTGCTAATTTCTGAAATTCAATTAGCCTCTCCTCCTAGACCAGTGCTTCTCAATCTTTTATTTGCAGACTTTCCAACACGGTAGCAAAAAGAAACAGGTGCCTCTTTTTATAAGAGTTATTTTATTACTTATTTGAAAGGCAGAGAAAGGGGGAGAGACAAAGAAAAAGATCTTCCATCCACTGATTCATTCCCCAAATGGCTGCAACAGCTGGGGCTGGGTGTAGTAAACCTTGTCCCCAGAGGTCCATCCCAGGTCTCCTACATGCGCAGCAGTCCCAAGTTCTTGGGCCATCTTCCGCTATTTTCCCAGGCCCATTAACAGGGAGCTGGATCAGAAGCAGAGCAGCAGGGACAGAGGCAGGACGCTATCACAAGCAGCAACTTAACCTCCTGAGCCACAATGCCAGCCCCTCTTCCAACTCCTTCTTTCCATCATAGGCTTTTGCCCATCACTCCTTGCAAACAGTTTAAATGACCTCCACGATCCTAAATCCAGTAATTATTCTCAGTCTTCACTCATTACTCCAATCAACCAACAGCTCTGTCGCTCTCCCCTCCTGAAATACTTTCTTGACCAAGTATGTTTCCTGACCGCTTTTTTTTTTTTTTTTAATTTATTTATCTGAGAGGCAGAGTTACAGAGAGAGAGACACATTTTCCAACTGCTGGTTCACTCTCCAAATGGCCACAACAGCCAGAGCTGCACCACGCCAAACCCAGGAGCTTCCTCCAGGTCCCCCACGGGGGTGCAGGGGCCCAAACACTTGGGCCATCTGCCACTAGTTTTCCAGGCCATTAGCAGGGAGCTGGATAGCAAGTGAAGAAGCCAGGACTCAAAGTAGCGTCCACATGGGATGCCAGTGCCAGAGGCAGAAGCTTAACCTATTATGTAACACAGCCGGCCCCTCCTGATTGCTCTCTCTCTTTTTTTTTTTTTTTTTTTTTTTAAGATTTATTTAAGGCAGAACTACAGAGAGAGAGAGAGAGATCTTCCATCTTCTGGTCCGCTCCCAATTGACTGCAACAGCTGGAGCTGCACTGATCCAAAGACAGGAGCCAGGAGCTTCCTGCAGGTACCCCTTGCAGGTGCAGGGGCCCAAGCACTTGGGCCATCTTCTGCTGCTTTCCCAGGCCATAGCAGAGAGCTGCATCAGAAGTGGGGCAGCCGGGACTCGAACCGGTGCCCATATGGGAAGCTGGCACTGCAAACGGTGCCTTTACCCATCACACCACAGTGCCGCCCCTCCCCCCCTTTCTATCTCACTATTCCTGCCTATTCAGCTGCCTTTGCTAAATACTTTTCATCTCAATTTTTGGGTCTCTTGTATAATCTATGTTCACCCACTATATACCTTAGTGACTTTATTCAGTCTGGTGGCTTTAAACATCATCAATATTCCCCTCTAGACCTCGTCTTTCCTTTGCTCTTCAAATTGAGAGACAGCATTCTCTTTTAACTGTCTAACATGGCTCTCTATTCAGAATATATCTGGAATCCAAGACTTGTTGTTACTCTCATTCTACCCCCACTATGATCCCCTGACCCAAGCTCCACGCTCTCTCGGCCGATGACTCAGAGCCCTTTCTCATCTGTCTGCTTTCAACATCAGCCAGAGGGGTCACTTTTAAGTAATGAGGGCTTGTCACCTACCTACGCAAGAGACCCCAGTGGCTTCCACAGCTAATACCAAAGTTCTTACAGGACACCGCGCGGCTGGCGGAGGGCGCGCCGGGCAGCGGTCGCCGCAGCCGGACCATGCTTAGTGGAGCACGCGGCAGGCTCGCCTCAGCGCTGCGGGCGTCCGGAGTCGGCCGTAGGTGCCTGCCTGCGACAGGGTAGCAACCCTCAGCAGATCAGAGCGAGTGGGCGCAGCTGGAGTTCCTGGTGTGGCCCCTGTCCAAGAAGCCGCTCAGATATGAAGCATCAACAAATGAATGAATGAATGAAGAGCTGGGAATAGCCTATCCAATCACTGACGGGATGCCTAATATGATACCACAGGCAGCAAGGATGACCCATCAGGATAAGAAGAAGAAACGGAGCAGCACTAGACCATAATTTTTAAAAACCACACCAACTGTTCTCAATACCATACCCATTTTAAAACAAGGTGGCAGCTATTAAGTGGGAGAAGAGAATGTTTCCGTCTCTTCCTACACTGACCATCCTTATTCCACTGATTTCTCTCACAGGTCTTTTCTACGCGGCCTCTGTGGAAGAAAACTTCCCACAAGGCTGCACTGGCACTACCAGCTTCTGCTTCTACAGCTTGCTCCTGCCCATTACCATACCAGTGTATGTGTTCTTCCACCTCTGGACTTGGATGGGGATTAAACTCTTCAGGCATAACTAAGGGAGCCAGAGCCAAGGTGGTCTATGGATTCGTGATACGTCTAGGGCATCCATCTCTGCAAGTTCAACTAGGTGGAAATGCTGGAGACACATTGCATTTGCAGGAAAGATCTTTGCCTCGCTTCTCAGGATTGGGCCTACGAGAGACATGCTGCAGAAGCTTCTTTTATTGTACTTTAGTTCGGACAGCCCTTGTGTTTTGAGGGTTCTGACAGGACTGCTGTGTCAGAAGGAACTTGTAACAGTGTCTTATTGGAGCTTAACACCCCTAATGCTCATCTGGTGACCATTTCTTAGCCCATTCATCTAAAAGTTAGCCATTTGTAATTTTGTTTGTTTAGCTTCAAGCTTGTTGGTAAAGTGACTTAGTAGGAATGACCAAAATAATCTCAAAGGACCTGTATGATGTAGTTATAGAGAAATGCATTTAAACTGGTGTGACATAAAACTGTATAATAAACTGGAAATTGCATGTACTTAAAAAAAGTTCTTACAGGGACCTACAGGGTCCTACGAGACACACACTCACTCAGCGATCATCGCCTACATCTCAATACACACATCGCTGTTCTTCAGCCAGACAGCCCTTCTGACTTTTCACTCACTGTCTCCCTGCCTGGTAATCCCTCTCCCATAAAACTGCACGGCTCGTTCCACCTGCTGAGCAATGCCTCGCTTGACCACTTCTAAAACTGCAGCTGCAATCCACCCTACACTCCCTTGATTCCCTCCTTGCCCTATTTTTGCCATAGCATTTATCGGCACCTGACATATTCCCCATATATTTCAGGACCTAACTCCTACACAACTAAGTGCAACGTTTTATCTGTTTTACAAGAAGCGTTCAATTTTTGTTGAAAAGAGGAATTCATGTTACGACTCCCGTGATAGAACTCGTATGACACGGAAGTCATGAGTAAAGTTACAGACGGTAGTTCCCGCCTCATCAGCTAGCCAGAAATTCTCCAGTCATGCCTTAAGAGGCGAAGGGGAGTGGAGAGGCGCCCTCCACTTTAGAAAGAGGCTTTTCCCATACGGACGGCGGCTAGCACATGGAAAGAACCTGCCTGTGAACCGGACCCAGCCCATTGCTCGCTTCCCGCCCAAACTCACCGCCATGGCGCCACCCAGCAGACTCTGGAAATCGACCACAGTGACCTCGGCGACCCCCTCAAAGGAGTGGTTACAACCTTTCCCCACCCTCTCGAGGAAGTCAGGCCTCCCGCGACACTAAAGCACACGCTTCACAACCACAGGATGCAATCGCCTGGCTCACGAATAACTACAACCGGGTGAATCTCATGGCCCGCCGGGAATTGTAGTGCCCAGACCGCAAAAGTCAACGTCCAGCAGGCATCTATGAACTACAATTCCCAGAGAAAACCGGACTACCGGAAGTCTGCTCGAGAGGCCCACTTCTCAGGTGGCGCCGGAAGTGACGTTACGGGCATGTTAAACTACAATGTCCATGATGCAGTTCGGATCCTAGATAGCCGCGCGGGCGCCCTGGCGATTGGGCAGGTCCCTGGCCTTGAGCCTTTTCACTCTGTAGAGCAGCGTGTCTGTCAGGATGCTAGGATGCGAAGTTAATTACTATTCAGTGAGTGAGGTGCTAATTATAGGTTGTCACTATGCACAAATATTTATTACTGTCGGAGGCATTCAGCAGCTGAGCATTTAGACATTTTATAGCCATTTATTAACAAGTCTCCATTTTCTGTGTATATGTGTAATATAAATATATATATTTTAAATGTGTGTTTATTTATTTGAAAGGCAGAGAGAGGGAGGGAGAGGTCTTGTATTCGCTGGTTCACTCCCCAGATGGCCGCAATGGCGGCACTACACTGATCTGAAGCCAGGAGCTTCTTCCAGGTCTCCCACAGGGGTTCAGGGTCCCAAGGACTTGGGGCATCTTCCACTGCTTTCCCAGGCCATAGCAGAGAGCTGGATTGAAAGTGGAGCAGCTGGGACTCTAACCAGCATCCATATGGGATCCCAGCACTGCAGGCCGCGGCTATACCCACTACAGCAAAGCGCCTGGGGCTTCTCAGGGTTGTAGGGATGAGGATCCTCAAATTATATTGTGGGGATGAGGAGCCTTGGCTGGACTCAGAGCCCAGGTAGACTTAGTCCAGTTTATTATATTCCAGCTTGTATTAATACAACCAGAGACATAGAGGTGGACAGAAAAGCAGGATTCACTGAAAAGCAAAATGGTAATGACAGGGGCCAGCACTAGGTGCAGCAGGTTAAGGCACTGGCTACAACACCAGCATCCTATATGTGCACCCATTGTAGGACCTGCTGCTACACTTCCTATCCGGCTCCCTGCTAATGTGCCTGGGAAAACAGCAGATGACTCAACTACTTGCTCCCCTGCACCCACTCTGCATGGGAAACCCAGCTGAATCTCCTGGCTCCCGGCTTCCACCTGGCCCAGCCCCAGCCAGTGCAGCCATTTGAGGAGTCAGCCAGCAGATGAAGAGCTCTCTCTCTCTCTCTCTCTCTCTCTCTCTCTCTCTCTGTGTGTATCTGTGTGTCTTTCCTTCCCTCTCTTTCTCTGTAACTCTGCCTTTCAAATAAATAAATCTTGAAAAAAAGATAAGTACATACTCAGACATGAGTGCAGGCAACCTCAAGAGAGAACTGCCAACAATTTCTATGTTTTTATCTTTTTTTCTTCTTTTTTGCACAGGCAGAGTGGACAGTGAGAGACAGAGACAGAGAGAAAGGTCTTCCTTTGCCGTTGGTTCACCCTCCAATGGCTGCTGCAGCTGGCGCACTGCAGCTGGTGCACCGCGCTGATCTGAAGCCAGGAGCCAGGTGCTTCTCCTAGTCTCCCATGTGGGTGCAGGGCCCAAGCACTTGGGCCATCCTCCACTGCACTCCCAGGCCACAGCAGAGAGCTGGCCTGGAAGAGGGGCAACCGGGACAGAATCCAGCGCCCCAATCAGGACTAGAACCCAGTGTGCTGGTGCCACAGGTGGAGGATTAGCCTAGTGAGCTGCTGCGCCAGCCAATTTCCATGTTTTTTAAAAAAAGATTGGTTCATTTATTTGAAAGGTGGAGTTACTGAGGCGGAGAGAGAGAGAGAGGGAGAGAGAGAGAGAGAGAATCTTCCATTTGCTGGTTCACTCCCCAAGTGGCCACAACAGCCAGAACTGGGTCAATCCAAAGCCAGGAGGCAGGATCTTCTTCCTGGTCTCCCATATGGGTTCAGGGGCCTAAAGGACTTGGGCCATGTTTAACTGCCTTCCCAGGCCATAGCAGAAAGCTGGATCACAAGTGGAGCAGCCAGGACTTGAATTGGGAACTGGAACCCATGTGGGATGCTGGCACTGCAGGTGGTGGCTTTACCTGTTCTACCACAGTGCCAGCCCCAACAATCTCCATGTTTTAGCAAGGGACTAGAAACCTCGTTCCTAGTCCCAGAGCAAGACTCAGAGCAGTAGTCACCAGCCACACGTAGAAATTTAAGCTCAAATTAATTAAAATATAAAATTCATTTCTTCATACCCACCAGCCACATTTCAAGTGCTCAGTAGGCCTGGTGGCTGACGGTACAAATACAGAATATTTCTGTAACCACAGAAAGCTCTATTGAACATCACTGATACAAAGCATTTACTCTCTGATGATACTAGTTACTCACATGTGCTCATTTATTAGCCCAGTAAACATCAAGCATCTACAAAGCAGTTGAAGTGGAGGGAAAAACAGCCCAGAAGTGTGTCCATCTAAAGGCCTAAAAGGAATTTTTTTCACATTTTGAAAAAACTAGTTTCTAAATACAGATTTAATAATGATGATGTAACACATGCTTGGCATGTGACATGAGTTCTATAAACATATCTTGGATGAAAGAAAGGCAGTTAACGAGGAACCCTATGCAATAGAGAACATACTCATGGCTCTCTTGGCCTCTGAGATCTTAACACACACAAATACTCTCCTTCAGTTTCCACACTCTCTTCCTTTATCTGCTAAACATTTAGACATCATCACTTCCCAACAGCCCAAGTCTTTTAGCTGTTCCCTAAAGCACCTGCTTCCTGCCATCCCCTTAGGAAACTTATTTCTCTCAATCTGTTTTCATCGTTGGACTGTGGGCTCCCTGACAACCGCAGTGTCATGGATGAGGTATGAATGAATCCTCATCCTGCCCACCCCCCTTAGACGTGTGGGTAAACTTTCTTGTTCAGCTCTGCTCTGAGCAGCACCATGTGTCATCTTTGATTCACTACCTTGCCATCCACATCAGTAATTTAAATCATTCATACAGCAAATATTTATTGAATACCTCCCGTGAATTTTATGCCAAGCCAGGATAGAGTGAGGAATGAGACATAGTCACTACCCTCATGAAGCTTACCATCGAAAGGCACGTGACATTAAAGCAGAGAATAATCATGTGACTGTAAAGTATGAGAAACCTGCCCTCCTGCTTCCAAATTTATTCTTTTAATTTTCTTATTAAAATGGCTAAGATTTGTCGCTCCCCGTCTTCGTGGAGGAACGACACAGGACCCTGCGCTGTTCTTTCGTCTGCTCGGCCGTCCCCGGGTTTGCTGCTGGTTCTTCCCGGGTTGGCTACCGACCCTTCCACCTCCGTGGAAGGGCGGTTCCCCCCAGCCACTTTCCCCACTTCCGCGGGGGAGCGGCACACCGCCGGCCGGCTCTCTCGGGGGCTGCACAGGTGTTCCTTCAGATAGATGTTCCTGGTGCATGTTGTCTCTCTCCTCCTTTATAGTCCTCTTCCACCAATCCCAACTCTGCTACCCACACGCCGAGTACGCTGCTCTCCTCCAATCAGGAGCAGGTCCTACAGTTTACTGGTTGAACTGGAGGCAGCTGTGTAGAAGCTGCTTCTCCCTTCTCAGCGCCATATTGTGGGAGAGCAGATGCATAGAATAAGTCTTAATTCCAGTAACAGTCTAGTCCGAGTTGCTCCCAGTTGCTCCCCACAAGATTCCTCTTTTTTAAAAAGAAATTATTTTCTTATTTGATAGGTAGCATTACAAACAGTGAGAGGGAGAGACAGAGAAAAAAGTCCTCCATCCAGTGGTTCACTCCCCAAATGACTGCAACAGCCGGAGCTGGGCTGATCTGAAGCCAGGAGCCAGGAGCTTCTTCCAGGTCTCCTATGCACGTGCAGGGGCCCAAGGAGTTGGGCCATTTTCTACTGCTATCCCAGGCCATAGCAGAGAGCCGGATTAGAAGTGGAATAGCTGGGACATGAAGCAGCACCCATACGGGATGCTGGCACTACAGGTGGAGGCTTAGCCTAGTGCGCCACAGCGCTGGTCCCATGATTCCTATTTTTAAAAAATATTTTTTGAGGGCCAGTGTTGTGGCACAACGGGTACG